CAGACATTATTAAAACAGTGTGAAAAGAGAGTGGTGTATCTGTACCTTTTATACATATTTTTATGAAGGTTATCATGTTATCACGACTACTCTACTTCCCAAATAAGTATTAAAAATTAATCAATTTAGTTCATCATTCCCTTATTGATGAATGTTTGCTCTGCTTGGAAATTTATTCGTTGTCCCAATGAATATTAGTGGATAATTAGTGGAAATTAAATCCGTATATAAGAAAATAGCTAAATTGGAATATATTTATATCTAATCAACGGAAAGTAAATCCGTATATAAGAAAATTATACTTTTCTATGAAAAAAAGCGAATTAAAATAGAAATTAATCAACGGACAGTAAATCCGCGGACAGTAAATCGTGCACTCGATTTCACACTACCTCAAAGAGAAATTTTGTTTTACACCCTCCTAATGTTCTGCTCCTATTTGTGGCTCTGTCTCTTCTAGATCCGCAGACATTTGGAAACGGGCTGATTAATGGAGAATCAAGCAGCTAATCAAACTGATCAGTTTCGTGCTCAGTGGTACTGGAAATCCAATTTCGATCCATGGTCAGCAGATGAAAACGAAGAATGGACAAAATATTCTTATATCGAATCAGAGATTATTGAAAAAGCATTTAATGAAAGAAACAAAACAAGAAAGATTGAATTGGATAACTGTTGGATTGACATAAACGATTCCATTGAAATCAGTAAATCTGATGAAAATAAGCAAAGGCCAATAAAACGAGTTTTAATTAAAGCTCCGAGCGAAGTTCTTCCACAACCATTCTATAAAATTTTTAACGATGTGTCTACGAATGAGGGTGGATCTTTGTTTATTCGTCACTGGATAATAAATAATAATCATCTTTCTAATTGTGAAATAGTGGAAAAGGCAGCAGATGGAATAATCGTCGAAGGGAATCTGGTGGGCAGACATCTTGAGGCACAACGGTTAGCTGGCATATTAGCAGACGTAAAAAACAAGAGCAGAGAAGAAATTTATGAGTGTTGCGTTAAGCTGTATACGCTAGATAGCTTTCTGTACAAACTAGTAAACAGAACACTAAGATATAACGATGAAAGCAAAGCAGACACTCTCGCTCCATTCTGCTACTTTTTGTTCAATGCTTGTCATAATAGTGGTGCGAAGTATAGCATGGATGTCTATCGTGGTAGTCAATTGGATCAGTCTGAGATTAAAGCTTACTCGGAGGCGATTGGTGAATATAAGTGCTGGCTTGGATTTACTTCAACAACTAAGAACCGTGAAGTGGCACAAATGTTTGGCGATACATTGTTCATCATTGACGCATCATCGTGCGGTGGAAGTGACATATCACTACTGTCACAGTTCACAGACGAAGAAGAAGTACTACTTCCTGCAGGAGCAACGTTTAAAATTCATAAAGTTGTATTTGACCAGGAAACTCAAAAATACTGTATTTTTCTAGAGCTTCTGCCTGAAGTCCGTCTCGTCGTACTTGGGAAAACTGGAACGGGTAAGTACTTCTAACCAGACCTTGGGTGCTCAAAGTTAATATTCTTTGGTTACACTATTTTTAGGAAAAAGTTCGTTTGGAAATACAGTACTAGCTAGAGAACAATTTGAAGCAGACTGTGCTTTTGAATCTATTACTACAAGGTGCTCAGTGGGACTTCGAGTTTTCAATGATAAAAACTGGGTGATTGTGGATACGCCAGGATTTTTTGACACAAAACTTCCTAAACAACAAGTTCAAAGAGAAGTTGCTGGTTCGTATCAAATAACAGCGCCAGGTCCACATGTTTTCTTAGTCGTTGTTGAATTGGGTCGTTTTACAGAAGAAGAAGAGCGAGCAGTAGAATGGATTACTAAAATATTTGGTGATCGGGCTGTTGATTATTGTATCATCATCTTCACTCATTTAGATAAAATTATCAAAGCCAAGAAAAAGAAAACTGTCGACAAATATCTCCAAAATGCAAATCCAGCATTAATCAAACTGCTTGATAAATGTGATAACAGGTATATTGCTGTTGATAATACAGCAAGTGATGATGCAAAAGAACAAACGCTCAAAGATCTGTCAGATAAAATATCAAAAATGATAGCAAAAAATGGTGAACGTTTTTATACTACGAGCGAGTTTCAACAAGTAGCCATGCAACTGAAAAAAGTCGCCAAGGAAACAAGATGCAAGTTTAATCCATTAAAATCAGATGGAACTGTTAACGTATTACCAGAAGTAGAAAAAATTGTTGCGTGTGAACTCGACATTAGTTAGAAAAGATATTTATGGATTAATGCTAGGACCGATACATTTCTAAAAGCTTAACTGCTGCAATATATGACAAAAACCCTTAGCTAAATATGATAATGCTTAAAACTCGTACATAAGAACATGCTTCTCACTTAACAAAACCTTTGAACAATTCTTTTGCACTATCATCGATGTACAAGTAGTCTGCTATGTAAGTGCTCTTTTCAGAGTGTCCCACCTAGGACTCTCCATGTTCTTTTGCTGTCCATTTTAACCTTCCAATGTAGTTGTTGTCTTTTTAATTATTGTTTTTTATTTTCATTTTGCTTTTTGTTTTTTTATTATTTTTTCTGTTTTTATTTTTCACGTATTTTAGTTTTCTGTTTCTGGCCACCATAGCAACCTGCTCCACGATATCCGCGTGAGAACATTCGGTCTCTGTGGTGGCGGTATAAGAATATATATATATATATATATATACTTAGAATATATATATACTCGAGCATTCTTTTCAGTACTTAGTCTTTTTGTAGTTTGTGATAAAGTGCAGTCGAATAAAAGAGTGATACGCAAAAGATACGTATCTTAACGTACGTATCGAATGGTTCTAAAGTGAACCAGTTGGAATTACAATTTCAAGTAGAACTGGATAAGATCAGAATTCTATTGTGAACTGACTGGACTAGGCGAGTATAGAATTTAAAATTCATTCTATAGAAAGGCGAACAAGGAAAATAATCTAGCATTGGAGCCCTGTAGGTTATATCTAACCTATAGGTTAGGTTAGGTTTAGGTTACGATTTGTATAGATTAGGTTGCGGGTTGCGCCGTTGATAACCTATTTTTAACCTAAGCGAAAAAAACGATTTTGAACGACCTCAATAAAACAGACAATACTTTGAGCAACAGAGCGTAGTCCAAGTGGAAATTTATCGATTGAGCGATAAAGTTCAGATTGATGTTCTCTAACTGAACTATTTTTAAACTGAAAAATGGCACAATCAGAAAGGAAGTACAAAGAAAAAGCTTATGTGTGCTAAAAATAGATGGCGAATACACAACAATAATCCTTCCTAGCATCGAGAGCCTAAAGTAGAATTATGGTCTATTTTTAAGAGTATCTCCCTACTCAGAAACCTATTTTCCAAACATTGCATTAACGAATAAAAGAGTTAACCGATTCATTTCTATATTCATTTAAATGTGGTTTATTTTGTATAAGCTTTCCTATCAGACGTTGTATAGATAAGAAACAATAACGATATGGACAAAGCTGAAGTTTAGGTTTCTGAAACCAGAATGTGGGAAAGAATTATATAGGTTATATTAGGCTTATCTAGGTTAGTTTACGAAATACATTAATAGGTTAGGTTATAAGTTGTCAAAAAGTCGTAACCTGCAATGCTCTGTCTGGCATCTGAAGAACAAGGAAGAAAAAGGATTTTTCTTGTTGTAATATGGAAATTTTACAATAGAGTTGGCTTATGACTTAATTTCAGTCTTATATTTCCACTATTCATCCAAATAAACGTGCACAATACAGAATAAAATGTACAGCGCATAATCAGATATTACAGCTATTCAAATCCGATGAGTATAAAGCACTAGATACAAAATTTAAATTTTAGACAAAATGAAATCTTTCATATAAATCTTCACGAACTATCACCCGTTGTTCGCAAAAAAAACCAGAAACATAGAAATTTTTCGTTTTTTAAAGATTTTAGGTTTTGACATTATTCAAAAACTTCAATTTTTTTAATTCTTTTTCATAAACATAAGTTTTTTAAAAAACTAGAATTGATGTTCTTCTATGTCACTTGACGTGCTCTATCCACGGATGATCGGCACCTTACATCAGAATTAGACAAATCAACAAAATTTCAGACTTAATCCAAACGAAATTTTATTTCAGAGAAAATGTCGTACCTTGCTTCTACGTGTTCTTGGAACCGTGCATGTTTTATTGATCATAATGAGTCTCATTGTGAATGATATAGTGAATATCGGTCTATGTAAGTTGATTACATATCAGTTGTCATGTTTTACACGAACAAGTCCCTGACTAAGTGTATTGATTATACTTGAGCGTGTTTACGTTACCAAATATCCTATTCGTCTGTGGTTGAAAAATGCAAAAACTCCTAAACGATTCATTATAATTATATATACACTTTATTCTGTCAGAATACAAGCGGAATATATTCATTATACTATTCTAAACTATAACTGTCGAAAAACACAGAATCAATTTTGTACAAATACCGATTCGAGCACATGAACTTAGCTTTGTAGTAAACTACTACAAAACTAAATTCACTGTTCTGTATCTATATTCTGTACAACGACTGAAGTTGTGCAATCCCCTCGATGTTATCAGTAGTCAGTTTTGTTGGTATCCTTTTTGTGTTTTGTTTTTTATATAAGCTTTATTCTGTCAGAATAAAAGCGAAATATATTCTATTATAGTATTATAATCATATTCATCGGTGTATTTAGTTCCCATGAACATGAAGTCTTATATCATACTGTTGTATCCGATCCAAAATTTAATTAATACGGTGAGAGAGAATTTGGTGTCATATGCCTAAAAAAGGATTGGCTGATAATGATATGCTTCCTTCGAAATGTTCAAATGCTTTAAATAATGGTGAATGCTCATCATTCGATGTAGTTTGTTCTAGATCAGAATAATTCCATGCAGATGTGCAGGTATGTTGATGACTCAAATTCTTGTTTATCTCACGATCAATCATATTATCGTTCTTGTTTTGACTTGGTCGTTTTCGTCATGTTGAACTATGTGTCATGAAACATTTCATCAATCTTATCAATATTACGTGTAGGACTGTTCGTATTCGTATCCCACGCTTGAATTGTTTGTATTGCAATGATACATACGGTCACAGCAGAGAACGAAAGAGTGGTAGATTATGTTTTGACTCTTTCTGCATATTTACATTAGGTGAGCGTATAATATTCAAGTATTCCTAACAAAAAAAACATTCCTTCAATAACACTAAAAATACGCCCGTCTCACGAGCGAACCTTACTACCCGAGTAAAGATGTCCGGCTCGTATTTTTTTGATAGTTAGGACGTATGGTTGTACGGAAAAGTCTAAGAAGATTTGTGCACATATGATTGAAAAAAACGAAATCATTAGATTGGTAGACAGTACATAGAATAACAATTACTATCACAAATTTTGCTGCATATGTACTTTTAGATTTTCTAAATGATGTACCTACAATTGTGAGAAAGTCAAGCAACCACTTCCTAAAAGCAAATGTTACGTAGGGAAACTTAAAATAGTTCGGTGAATTTACAGCCTCCAGAGAAAAAAAGGACCTGTGTGGAATCATTTTAACTACATCAGAAGAGCTCATCGATACACTTTTTTATTTCTCTACATTCTGTTTACATTACATGACGATGAAAAATGATAATTTGAAGAAATTGTAAAGTATGTTTTGAAACAGTTTCGCCTGCGTTATGTATAAAAAGCATGCCTGAACTACTGGAATGATTTACATTCAAAGGAAAAAGCTGATAAATTTGTACATGCAATGAGTAAAAATGTTTCCATACAGACACTTTTTTCTTGAAAGTGTTGTAAAAGAATAAAATCATAAAACTAACCTAATGTAACATTAACCGATTGCTCTATAGCCACACATGCATAGAGTCAATCAACTGTTGGAGCCAAAAATCTGAACAAAAACTCAATTACACTACAATTAACATTTAAAAATTGATAATTAGTAATCAATTTCGTCTACATCATTAATAAAAACCAATATTGAGGTAAACTAATATACGATAAACAATTATTGAATCTAAAGAAAATGCTCAGCCAATTGTTGTAAGTTGACATTTTGTTCCAAAATAACAATTGGTGCATACACATAATGATTCTGTTGGACATGCCAGTTTATCTTGAAAACATTGACGTTGATTTAAACAATAATTATAATCATTACAAATATATGTTTGACTGTGATTATAATTAAAACAATCAGTTAAATGACTTTCTGCTGTACACAAACACATGTGTTTTTCATCATAAAAATATTTTAGTTTTAAATTTTGTTGACATATTTGATGGTAATATTTTAAACGTTTGAGCCTTTTTGTTTGTGAACTTTTCCATCTGTTTTCAGGTTTTACTGGTTTTCCTTACTTTTTCAAAAAAGATACAACATTTTTAGGAAAACACAGTATGATTTTGAGATGTTTACAAAAACTTCATAATTTCAAACTCTGTTAAGACCGCTCCCCACCCCCTCCAAAAAAGTCGATTCTCGTCAAAAAAATGATACAGATATACGGGATATCGTCTGGAATGTCTACTTCACAAATATATAAAAATATCATTGAATCTCGAAGATTTTTAAGGAGCATTTTAAGAAACATTCTGCAGTTCTCTGAGGTGATTATTACCTCTTTGTACACGAGACACGCTAATTAGCGCGTTTTGAATAACCAACAAAGATAGAGGTCTGTGGTTTTCAGCAATCGAAATAAAACAGCTTTGCCTATGTTTTCTTTCGCAAAATCCTCTTCGAAAAATATTCGGAAGGTCGGTTTCCTAGGAAGTCTTCATAAAACCAGTTTGGAGTTTCGGATATTTAGATAGCAATCTATCTGTTTTTTTCCATAGGTATGTAGTTCAAAGTGTTCTCTTAAAAACAGACACTAAGCGAACTCTTAATTTTTCCTGGTTCAGCTGCAGCATCGCAGTTCCTGAGAGTCCCAGGATCAATATTTCTTTAGGCGTGGTAATTCCGAAAATAAATGATAACATGATAATCGACCACGCTGAATCTCGTGGCAATATTTGTTTTTAAAAACACTTGCAAAAACCTATATTAGGTGAACTAACCCATTTTTGCCTATTTTTGAGTAAAATTAAAAAATTCATAACTCAGTCAAAACCTATCCGAATTATGTCAGATTATCTACTTAAAATAGATCTGTACTTTATTTTACCTGCTCAATGTCATCTTTTACTTAAGAATAGTA